TTTATGAGTTGTAATAACGATGTTATGAAAAACGTAAAATTTAAAAATCTAAAATTTTAAAATAATTTATGAGTGTAATAACGATGTTATGAAAAACGTAAAATTTAAAAATCTAAAATTTTAAAATAATTTATGAGTGTAATAACGTTGTTAAGAAAAACCAAAAATTTTAATGTTATGAAAAATCTAAAATTAAAATAAAATAGTTGTCTTTTCTTTTTCCATTACCACAATTCATTTGTGAAATGTGAAAATTTAAATATTTGAGAAAAAGATTTTGCAAAAAAAAAAAATTCAAACTTTATAAATAAATTTGAAAAATAATAAAAGTATTGCAATTACAGCAGGTTAATATAATTTTTTTTTCCTATAAATCAAATTTGATGAAGCAATATATTTGAGTTTAAAATATAATCTTAGAACGGATAATTCCAAGATGAATACAATGGTATGCATGTTGTCAAGTTTAAATTGCCATGAAATATTTAATGACCACTATGCAGGTCATTCATTCCCACATACAAAAGATAATGGTCAATTTGTCACATGAAGTTATTCAATCATATTTTACATTAGCAATGATTAATTGCTACATAATTATTTCGTCCATAGTGAGCAAAAATATCTGTTTCATTTCGAATATTACTCGTTTATGCGAATTTTATGAAAAATAAATTTCAAATTTTCAAAAGAAATGAAATGAGAAATAAAAAAAATTTTTTTAAAACGGAAAAAACAAAATTCAAATTTTCAAAATGAAAGTTTGATGAGAAATGAATTTCAAATAAAAACAGCTGATATCAATGATTGCATTAGTGATATCATAGTGATTGAATAGCTTAATTAATCAAAATTATAACTTCACAGAATTGCTAGTCTTTTTTTCTTGTGCTTCATTTAATCATGTTATATTTAAATTCATTTTTTTTTTTGATTTCTTCTTTTCATTTTTATCATATTTTGCGTCTGTTTGATCGGAAGTAAAATGACTTTCTGAAGTGACTAATTATTCTTCCATTTTTTCCCTGGGGTAGATTCAACTTAACCATTACCATTCCATATTATTACTTTTCATTAATTACAGTTGTTTGACCTTATTTATTTATAGATGCGGAATCACTTGACCCTTGATCTTGTTTGTAGATTAAACTTATCACTTGATCCTAATTAATCTAACCTATCACATTTTAGAAGAAAAACGACTAATTTTATGGTTTGATCAATTAGATATAAGATAATACAAATGAAAGTATGTTATGTTATATACAATTCACTTTTTTTTCATTGTTTGTCAGTTTTTTTTTTTTTTTTTTTGCTCATTGCAAGTTTTTTTATCAAAACTCATGCATACTGTGGTTATTATTTCCTCTGTTTTGGTTACTGTATATAATACTGTATCGTGTTGTTGTGATACTGTGATTATTTATGAAAAATAATTTTAATAATTGATAGCTTAGTAAATGTAAATTGTCCAAGCTAATTTACTGCTAATACTATGGCTATATATTTACTGTAATTATTGCATCATGTTTGTTGCAATTGTCATCTTATTACCGTAAGTTGTAAAGCATTACGAAAAAGCAATATGCTATTCTAATCATAACAAACAGGATACAGTAATTATAGTAAACATACAATTTCATTTTTTTATACGACAATTTCTATAATTGATGGCTTAGTAAGGTAATTATTTTCATAAATTCAGTTTTAAAGATTTGCTGTTGCATAGTGAGGTGTTTTTTTTTCTTTTTTATTTTTAATTTCTCTTCCATAATCCATCAATTTTTTTATCTTTTTTCTTTCAAATTAAATTCATGAGTTAAATTTTCTACAACAATTTCAGTTTCTAATTACCAACTGCTGCTAATTAATAGCTTATTATATTTCCTGCTTTTGATGCTTTTCCTAAGATAAGAAATTTTTATTTATCGTAGATTGAAATAATATTGCTTATGATTTATTGATTTATTTTTTTTCCACTATACAAATTTGTATTATTGCTTTGAATTTTCATCATTTTTTTTCATCAGGACAATGTACTATAAAGCATACGAATATGCTTCTTTTTTTTTCAAAATTTCTCATTTTTATATGATAGATTACCGTAAGTCTTTTTTCTTGTTACAGTAAATTATAGTCCTTCTTATCACTACAGTTCCTTCTTCACAATAGATTATCGTATTTCTTCCATTATGATTTTTTTTTTATGCCGAATTATCATCTTTCTTCTTTCATATATCTTTTGGTTAACGATAGATTATCGTACACTTTTTGTCTTCAATCATTACGATAAATTACCGTATACTTTTTATTTTCCTTACTACGGTAGATTACCGTAGGCTCCTTTTCTTCATTCATTATGATAGCATATCGCGTTGGATGAAAATGTAATGTAGTAAAATTAAATAAATAATTTTGAAAAAAACAAAAATTTTTGCTATACTATGAATAAATAATAAATTATAATAAGGTTATTTTTCGTTTTTCTTTCCACATTCATTCATTCAAACCAAATCAAATTAAATATTTACAATTTTTACATATCATCATCATCATACTTTTCTAGTAAAAATTTCCGAGAGTAAAAATTTTTTCCATCTCAATTTTTATCATTGAATCTTTCTAGCAATAAATAAATGATTATTATCATAGAAAACATGGCATTATTTTTTTTTCAAATAAATTCGAAAAAAAAAGAGACGTAAAAAAAAAGGAAGAGAAAGAAATGATATCTAATGCTTGACATTTTAAAAATGTAACTGAAGGTCAAAGAGAAGAAAGAAAAATGAAAGATTAAAAAAAAAAAAGAATTAATTTCGTATGAAATGATTTGATATGGTGACAATAATTTTAAATGTGTTCTACACTTAAAAATTTTTTCTCATCGTACTTTTTTTTTTTTTTTGCATACAAAAATTATTTCGACAAATTTCTTTTTCTCTCATTCAATACCAAATGATGACAACCT